CCAGGTATGGGCTCCTACTCACCCAAAGTCTGGTACAAAATTGTTTGAAGTCTTGCTAGAGTGGATTCCCCCACCCTTGCATTTCCCTTCCATTTGTATGGGAAACATGGAAATTAAAAGCAGCAGAAGACTGTCTGGGTCTGTTATTTAAGTACTGAGAAGCTTTTAAATGTACACCTGTGTCCTGTGCCACAGTGCAGGGGCACTTTTGCTACGTAAAGGACTTGTAAAGGATATTGCAGGAGGAAAATGTCATTATTTAGAAGGTGCTCACTCAAGGATACATTTGTCATAACAACACCTTTAGTGCCAAACTATGAAAAGTCCTGCTTTTTCATATTCAAAATTTGGTATATTTGCACCATCCATTTTGGGGAAACATATTGAGGGTTGGGTTTTAATTAAGAGCTAGAAATGCCCACCCCAAACTCTCTGCACATTCAGGTTTATTGAGCAAGACATCCCTTGTGTGCATTATACATAATTCCCCAATTGTTCCTCTTTTGTTCTTTTTCTTTTTTATTATTTTTATATGCAGATCACATTATATATAGCCCTTGCCCATTAATATTTTCTCCTTGTAGCAAATTTTATAGTTAGAAAAATTATTTTTACATTCATTTTCACTGCTTTACATTTGCTGTGCATAACTATTTTTCTTCTAGATTAGCAAGAATTAGATTAGCAAGGTAACATACTAATTATTAATTTGGGTACTGTATCAAAATATCCTACTAAAATAAATGCAAATGGATATGGTGCATTTAAGTTTCTTACAGTACAATATGAATTATACACTGAGAGAAATCTTACTTTTTCTTCACTAAACTTGGTCTTTCTTTTTCTTTTCATTGATCTTTCACCTTCAGAATTTTTTTCCTGCTCATTGGGAGTTATTCCCACATTTCTATGTGGCCAAAAAAGCCCCGTGGACAAAACCCAGCAATTTCCTTGAGCAAGTGGGGAAAGAGGGAAAGTGAGAAAAGGAGTTTCTGATTTGCTCACCTCACAACACTCTAATATGCAAGTGCTCTACCACCTAGTCCAGGGGTCAGCAACCCGCGGCTCTGGAGCCACACGTGGCTCTTGAACCCCTCTGCTGTGGCTCCGTCACTCAAAACACGCGCTGGCACGGATCTGCTCAAGCTCCACTCAGGGCTAGCTAGTTAAGTAAATCAGCTAGTTAAGTAAACAACATTCCTCTGTAAACAAGCTTCCTGCAGGCTCTCATGTTACTGCTGAAAAGATTCTCTTTGTCCCAATGTAATCTCCTTCATCTGAATGTTAAAAGCTGGGCTTGGGACCTGTCACAATTCACAGCACTTGACTGTTTATCTGCTAATCGGCCACTAAACACACCTATATCTCTGGCACAGCCTCTGATCTGCCATCTACAATCTGCACAGATTTGCTGAGTTCCCCCCCCCCCACCACCCGTAGGCCAACCATGGATAAATCGAAGAAAAGTTTCTGAAGAAAACCAAACATTTAATGATAAGTGGGTAGATTCATTTGCTTTTACTGCTGACAAACTTATCGGGTTTGCTGTTTAATGCATGCAGCCCTTTAGCACTGACTTTGACTCTTCAGGAAGCTGTTCCCCTATTCAAAATATATGAAAGGAGTCCTACTAGTTTATAATGTAAGATTAAAAATAACAGTTTTTAGTGACTAAACAAGAGCTGCAGCTAAATCATAATGGAAATTTACATAGCATTAAGGTAAAAAATGATATATGCAGTGTTATCTTCATTTTAGATGTCAAAAGGGTTTTGCAGCTCCTGGTGTTTTATTTTGTGTGGGAAATGGGTCCAAATGGCTCTTTGAATGTTAAAGGTTGCTGACCCCTGATCTAGTAGTTGGATGGGATATAAAAGCTTTACTAGAGAAAAAGAACAGGTGAGCAAGCAAACAAGTGTCTTTTCCACACAACTGCCGCTCCCTTACCTGCATTCTTTTCTGGTCAGAGAGAGAATAGGTGCTTTGAGGAGGCAAGGAACAGGAACAGAAGCCCCGGTGGTTCCATTGTGATGGGGCTGTTCCTGCTGCAGTTAGGACCTTGGCAAGTATCCAGTAATACCTGACTTCAAAACCAGTCCCAAGAAGGAGCTCTGATAGTGATATCCTTCAGATACAGTCCAGTGCAAGAATATTTCGGTTTTCTCCAAGTAGTTAAATGGATATTTCTACATTTTCCAAGTTCTTTACAGAATCTCAATGCTTTTTTTTTTACCCCAGATGCAGGAAAAAATGAGCTGAACTAAATGAATGGTATGATTTAGTCCGCAGTGAAATCTGCAAACTCACAAGGGAGTCAGTGCTACTGGAAGTAGGTTTACCTTACATCCAGGCAAACATGTTTAGAAATGCACAATTAGAGAAGGTAAATTCTTCAGAATATTGATGTCTTTTTTTAAACAGACACTACTCTGTAACATTCATATAAGTTAATGGCACTATATTATTATATGTAAACTGATGTTTATTGGATGTCCGTCTCAGACTGATATACCAGAGATCAGAGTGATCCAACGAAACTGTTTGGTAGGACAATTAGGAGAAATAAAATCAAGTGCTTCCACATACTACATATAATTAACTTACAGAATTCCCTACCATGATTTGTAGTGGTGAACACCAGTTTAGGTGGTTAGGCAAACTCGTGGCTACAAGTTATTATGACTGCCTGCAACCAGCAGGTTTCAATGGGCAGTTTGCTACTGAATACCAGGTTTTGTGAAAGTTTCAGACCCTGCATGTAGACTTCCTGGAGGTAAATTACTGGACACAGTAGAAGATAGGATGCTGAGTTTTTGCATGATCCATGTGGACCAATGTGTGTTTAAAAAATAAGCATATATTTTTAAATTAATTAGTTGGAACAAATTATGCACACATTGTGTGATTTTGTTAAAAATGTGTTGAAACTGTTTCTGCAATGAAGAGTGAAGAGTATTTGAGTGTCAGTGTTTGACAAGTGTAAGACCTCCCTGATCTGGTGCCTTCCAGATGTTTTGGTCTGCAACTTCCATGACACCCAGATTATGGAAATAGTAGTCCAACGCATCTGGAGGGCCCCAGATTGAGTAATGATGAACTAGTTAATGCAATCAGATTGACTGATGAATCACACTCTATGTCGGGTGTTCAGATCTCAGGCACAATGCTTTTTTATAGCTTCTGTTCACTCATCACTTATAAGGAAATAAGGCTATTACTTTGCATAGATTTCTTGGAAGTCAGGAATTTTCAAGGACAATTCTTCAGAAAAAAGGCCTGTTAATACACAATTAAAACATCACTTCCAAAATCCACCAAAAAGGCTTTTTTGATTGTAGGCAGAATACATATATAAATAAATTCCACGTCATTTGGCAAGAGGAAGATGAGTTCTCAAGGGGTCAAAGGAGGTTTGCAAGTGCACTGTGTTTTAAAGGAATAGGGTGAAAAATGGAGCAAATACAGCCAATACTTATTTCCTTAATAAGTTTGGGACAGTGCACACAGTTCTCCACCTCCCAGTCATTTTATTCTTATGGCAACCCTCTGTAGTAGGTTGGGCTGAGAAATAGTAACTGGCCCATGGTCATATGAGAGAATGTGAATTTGGACCTGCTTGTCCAACATGAAACTATTATCACAGACCAGCTCTCCTATGTCTCAATACAAGACACTGGCAGTGTATTTTGGGTAGAGGTTTCTAGGCTCTTAAAACTGGCTTTATACCAGAATGAAACATTTACAATGCTCTAGTACAGAATATTCATTCACCCAGCCTGGATTCATTATAATGTATCAAAATGACTAGACCTTTTAACCACTTTCCCAGACAGCACAGAACTCTGTTATATTACTTTGTTATATCCAAACTGCCACAGATCTTATCCATCAAGTTTATTTTTTCTGGTTTTATATAGCTTGGAGCTGATCTTAAGACATGTTTTGCCAGAGGGGTGCCGAGTTCCATGGCGGTTTCCCACTATTCCATATCATCTACTGGAATTCACTATGTAAATTTGGACCCCACAATGATCTTTCTCCCTCCTTGCCCATGATTACTGCCAGTGTGGCCCCAAAATACATGGTGGCTAATCTGGCTGGAAGGGAGAAGGTAGGGAAATTTGCCATAGGAATGTCTGGTCTTGTGGAAAACATAACATTTAGATCATACTTGCAAGTAAGTCTACAAAAATCACCAGACCACAGATTTCTTTTACTTGTCCACTCCAAATGGCCTGAATAAAAGCCACCACCGGCCCCAGCAGCCCTCCTTTCCCACCCTATAAAAGCTTCCTTTCCTGGCCACATCCTATCACAGGACAGGATGAAGAGGCTGTTACTACCCATCAGAAGCATGCTGGCCATTTTTAAAGCTGATTTTGACCAAAGGTATACCGGAAAGCCAGAAAGCAGCACTTCCAGAGCAGAAAACGTTGGTGGAGTTTGCAGAAGCAAGTTTGGATGATTGTCTCGTTCTGCAAACGCTTATTCTGGCTCATTTCCTGGAAGTGCCAGGTTCCCATTAGACTTGTGGTCATTCACGTTAGTGTACCCTAACAACTTCTGGCAAACTGTGTGCTCCAGATACTGTTCACTTGCTTGTTTGAGCCTATCCAGCACCAGATTTAGAAGTTCTTGCATCCATAGAAATTACGTTATCTACTTATTCCATCCATCGATATTTTGTCTTTCAGTGATGAAACTCTAGAGGCGGCTATGAGGGATTTACCCTGTGGTCTTTCATTCACACATTGGTCAGGCTTCACTTCAGTAAAGTTCCTGTATCATAGAACTTCTGGCCCTCGGACATGAAATTATACCCTCCATGCTCTGGACTTACCAGAGATCGTGCTGCTGGGGTTGAGATCCTGATCAACCCTTTCCATATTCAAAACGCCATTTCTAGCAACCACATTACATAAGCAATAATTGAAGCTGATATATAAGGGAAAAATCCTTTTTTAATTTTTTTCACTCATAATTTATTTACAAATACACATTATAACTTTTATATACATTGCACATTTACATGGTAGAAAAGTACAAAACTATATATTTAAATGAATTTATATTTAACTCGCCATGTTTGAAAATATAAAATTGCCTCAGAAAAAAAGTATTATGAAAAGCAAGAAACTTGAACTGATAAAGCTTTGATATAATATTCTGTGAACACTTTGAATGAGAAACAAAACGAACTTTCAAAAATGGAACTGCAGCAGCATCTGCAAGGACATACCTAATAAAACATTAATACTTGTGACAATGAATTTTTAAAGTATGTTCTCATTACATGTAGTCACATAACTATTAACAGCCTTCATAATCCGATCTTTGGGTCTGGATTCTCATAGTACAGTATAAACGCCCAGTACTTTGAGATCACCTCAGTACATGATACAATCAGAAGAAGAACATAACCAAGGGGAAGAGGATTCCTTAAAGATTGCCTCACTGCACCCCAAATATATAGTTAAGTCTGTTTACAGCGCCTTTTGGTCAGTCAAGATTCCTTGTAAACAAATACCCGAGGGACCATGGATGTATATACATAACCGGCAAGAATGAAAGGTAATAAATAAAAGTGTGACAGAAACTGACATGCAAAGTTTTGTTAAGGTGGAAGAGAGTTAACGCTGGCAGAAACCAAGAGATGAGAGTTGTGTGGAGAAGGGGAATTAAGCTCTAAGGAATGGATTTATAGTTTACAAGAAAAAAAGCTTTACTTTACAAGCAAGAGACCTCACAATAAATAACACTGCTCATCCCATAACGATTAAATTTCTCCCCCCCCAAAAAATAATAAAAGGTGTACAGTCAATCAGACATTTTATGTATAAATTATAAAACATGACACAGTATAAATAAATGTCTACAAGATTCAACTATATGTATACTTTTTTCTTCCCCAAATAAATAAGCATACACTTATGTACAGTATGGACATTGTATTTCTTGCCCAATGGCTGTTCCAAAGGTGATGGAAGTTTTTACCACTCTAGAATGGAAGATATAGGAAAGCTGTAGTCCTGGTCCTCCTCTTCGTCCTCTTCCTCAGGATCTTCATTGATGGCTAGATAGGAGAATACAGGGGAGCTGTTGTTTAAATACGGACAACAACAGCGCAGAAGTAGCTGAGTGCAAGTTTCAAAGCCCCCTGCACAGCCATAATAGAGTGTTGCATTTCTGTTTTATGCGTGGCTCGTTGTAAGATGCGCTTTGGCATCTGCTGTTATGCAATAAAGTTTTTTTTGCATGTGTGTTTGTGTGTATGTGTGTTACATAATCTATGAAGTCATAACTGCAGCAAGTTCTGAAGACTCAATGGCTCAGGTTTTATTGGCAGATTCCTGAAATTAGATAAAAAGTGCTCTTGTGTTCTAGGTTTTTAATTGCTTTTGAGTCCTTCATTCAGAGGCAACTGCAAGAAAACAGCAGCCCACGTGGTTAAGTGTTAAGCTAGTTTCGGGGGGGGGGGGGGGGAGGTTGAGGGAAGGGTGTGATTAGATTGTAGCCAAGTGTTAATAAAGCAGACAGCAAAGCACACTAAAGCAAACAATATTAAGGGAGGGCAAGAAATAGCTAGAAAGATGCATTTAAGGCAACCCTCTGATTTTAAACGCAGACCCTTTCCTATCAAGAGAAAAGGCACCCCGAAACATTTCCTGTTGGCTATCTGTTGTGCCTTACCAAGCACAAGATGTCTGTATAATATGTAAATTTCTTTCTATAAGAGCTCTCTTATACACAGTTCCCTTTCATGTTTAATAAAGGCGTCAGTCTTCACTATCCTAGGGATTTTTTTCCATCAGAAGATTAAAAGTTCCTGGCAAGGTTAAAAATCTCACTTACAGTTGCAAGATCCTGGGTGCTTTACTTCCAAAAGCACACCCAGGGAACAGGCTGCTTCCTTCATGGCACACTCGCTCGGGTAAGTGGTGTTATCACTGGCACAGACAGCTTCGTCCGACTTGCTTTCGGGGCACAGCTCGTCACAAAGGGCACACCGTCCTCTGCCCACTTTAAAATCCCACAGACATTTCTTTCCAGGACTGCACTGGATGTCTTCACAAGATTTGGCCTCTACAAAAGATGTTCAGTTTTTAAAGAAGAAGGCAGCAGGGGTAAACAAAACATGATGCAAAAAACAAATGAACTCCTCTAAAGCAATCTGATGGTAATTTCCACAGAACAGCAAGAGATGACTGTAAAGGCCTGTGACCAACTTGCGGGAGGTGGTAATGGTGGGGATAAGAGAGTGAGGTCAGGATGGGAGGACCTACAGGAGCATGAGCTGTGTCCTGGCTTTATGGTAGAGAGTAGAGGGGCTTTGGGTAAAAGCAGACAAGAGTTTTTCAGCTAAAGATCTTTGCATCTTGGAAGGCACAAAGTGAAGTAACAGCTCAGGCCAAACCCTCTGCCTTTGGGGATGATCCAGCTGTAGGGAACTCTTCCTGCCCCCAAGTGCTTCTACAAAACTGCTTTAGGTTCAGTAGCCCAACAAACAGCTGCTACAGGAAAAGTGCTTCCCCTTCTTTATGAAGGAACAAGCAGGCAGCACACAGGACTGCATTAGCTTTTACTCCTCCTGTTTGGCCTTCAAAATGCCCACAAGACTCCTTGATAAAGGCGAGTTGGTGACTCACTCCTGCTCAGCATTGCTGTTTTTTGCCTGCATGCCTAAGTGCCCTCACCGGGGAGCAAGCCCCACTGAACTCAGTAATGCTTGCACCTGAACAACTAGACCTTGAAGGGGACTACACAGCTCCTTGCGTCACACGCCTCTTCCGGTTCATGAGAAACGGACTATGGCTGCACTCTGGTTCCCATACAGGGTTGAGCCAACAAAGGACGCAAGGACAGCTCCTGGGACTGGCACAGTATCATAATGGTGTTTTTGCTGAGATGGTGGGAAGGAGAAGGAAAAAGATGTGTCTTAATTTATTTCCTTGGGAAGACACACCTTGTGATGCCAGAGGACTTGGCCAGCCTCCTGCTTGTATGAACAGCAGGACTGGGTGCTCAGAAGGGACCACTTAGGACACGCGGGGCAGCTAGCCTGTTACACAGCAAGAAGCTCCAAAGAACAAGATGTGCCCTCCCTTACCGATACTACTTTATCCTAGCAAAACATGAAGAGAACGTTATCACTACTTATTCCTGGGAATGGTCACTGCTCTTATCGTGTATACATTTCAACTTGCATAGAAATGCCAAGGGCTAGACCTCGTTTGGCATGTACAGACATTCAGCCTCACTGTTACAACTTTCTTTATACTTGGCTGATACTGCTTTGTATATTTGATGAAATGGGCTTATGGGCACAGACACTAATGCAGCACCTTCCATGGCCTCTTATTTTAGGATGGCAGTAGAGGATGCGTGGGGGCGGGGGCGGGGGTGGGACAGGGCTGCTAAAATAAAACCAAGAGCCCGGATGTTAACCATTGCTAGGTTTCTAGATTGTACCTATTGTCTTTATTTTCATCAAATAATTCAATGCAAGGTTGATAATTTGCACTAAATTAAGAAACTGTTACTTTGCTAACCTCCTACACCACTGATGTTTTGTGGAGTAATCATATTGGATTAAATAGAACAGCTTTGGAATAAAGACTTTAAGACTTCCAGCCATAAAAATATAGCAGCCTGATAGCTGATTAGATCACCACATGTTACAACATTGAAATAAAGAGCCTTAGGGCATGATCCAATCCAATCACAGCTTTTTAAATCCCATTGATTTCCATAGGAACATTAGGCACATGCTTAAATAATTGAAATCAACAGGAAGTAAAAGTGTTTCACTTCAGAGCAGTCTTCACCTCCCCACCTTCAAATATAAAGTATAACACTGCTGATATGTGATAAGCATGCATATACTATTTTAACAAATATTTGATTCAGCAATAATTTTCTTTTAATGGTAGTAATCACAGGAGCTTTATGATTTTTTTAAAGAAAAACTGTGTTTGATCAATGTAAAAAAAAAATCCTAAGAACTCATGTCCAGGTAGAAGTTTCCACTGAAATCCAGTTGAATTAAACGTAGAAGTCATGTGGTCTGAAGATATCTTCAAAGACTTGGTATCCTAAAGTATCAGAAGTTCCACTGGAATCAGGGCCAAAGATTAGTCCTTCATTAATTGTTGGAAGGATTAAAAGGAAAGTTTACTTGACCAAAATATACAGACTTCTGGATTCCAGGAATACATTCCTACTCGTTTTTTAAAAAATTACTTAAGTCTATTATTTTCTTCTGCTGTGAAGTGGTTTTGGTGCAGGAATGTAAAACAGAATGTGCTATGCAAGGGCTGTGCCAGGTTTCTTTACTTCTGATTTCTGAGTTTGTGGAGAAGAGGTTCCCCCCACTCTAAAAGCCATTTTTTAAAAAATGTATTTGTCTGCTAGCACTTTGGCACCATTTTTCCTCTGGCTCTTCATCCCTTCTAAATTAGTCACATGTGTAATTTGATCCATTCAGGGGTTTATATAACAAACAAGATGACTTTACAATTTTTATCTAGTCAAATTTGGCTGCATAATTACATTGAGGACAAATGAGAGCAACTTATGTCAGGATAAGTGACGGCAATTGAAACTAATCTTTCTGCAGGGAATTCCAAAAGACAGGAGAATATTTCTGCCCTGGAAAAAATATTATTTGAAAGGAGTCTACAATCAGCTGCCTCCTTGTTGACTTCAACAGCTTTCCCACAATACCTAGTTCCGAGTTGATTTCACTATGGATTTTTGACCTTTCATGGCAGGAAAAGGGAAGGAAAGCAACATGGGAACATAGAGAAGCTTCTCTTCACCTTCCATAAATGTTTTCAGTAGCCTGGAAAAAAATTGTATGTCTGTCCTGCAGTGGAAACTGGAATACCTGACCATTTATTGAAATTGCACCCCAACCTTCTTCCAGATTGCTCATACGTACATTTTACACTTACTACTCACAAGCAGCAGAGCAGGTAAACCTGTTTCTGACTGTATAACCGAATATTCCTCTATCCCCTTCCAAAAACAATCAATATACAGAAAACTAGGTGTCAAAAATAAAAATACTCCCAAAGATGTTAGAAATGCCAAAAAGCCACTGTTGAGTTAGAGAGGCTTTAACTGGGAGTATGGGTAAGGGGGACAGATTGATTTGGTCAAATGTGAATTTTACAGGTGAGATATGAAGAACCTGATTTCAACATTACTAGTGAAAACAGCCAGCATGTTCATATCTCCTGGTATCAATACAATGGATTCTGAAAACTTTCACAGACTTTGAATTAGGTGAGGGGAAAAAAGAAACACACACACACACACACATATATCTTTGAAGTATTGAAAATAGCTGGGTTTTTCCAAGTCCAACTTTGTTGGGGTCAATGGGAGCCTGCCAAAGCCTCTCTCTTTGTCATGGCCTTTGGTGAACTTCATAAAACACGGGAAGCTGCCTTATTTCCAACCCTACCTGGAGATGCCAGAGATTAAACTTGGGGCCTTCTGCATGCAAAACATGTGTTCTACCAATTCAATCCCTTCCCACCACTTACCCACCTTTTTCCTCAGTGTTTCATTTATGTTTGCTGCTCTGGCAGCAGTAACAGAGTTGAAGGGAGGTCTGCTGAACTGTTATGGAACACTTTGCAATATAGTTTTAAGTGCTTTAAGCAGTGCCAGATAAACTGCATTGCCCAGTACAATCATTGCTGGGTGCAGGTCTTCAGAAAAGGTGTGAGGAAGAAAACCTCTTCCTTTGTTCCCTGCTATTGGAAAAAGATAAGTTACGGGTAGAAAGAAAGGCTGAAGTTTTTTGTTTTTGGCTCAGATTAAAAGCTAAACAGAAGAAATGTTGGATGCACAATCCAAACCTCTTAGATAAGGCAAACATTGTATTAAGCAACTTTGCATCTTTCAAGTGTGTGCGTGTGTGTGTTCAACTGCTTAGCTCCCCCCTCCTGGGCTGCATTTACGGTGACATCCTTTTCTGCTGTATGTAGATTGCATTGTGATCAGAACTGCTACCAGATTGAGGAAAATTCAACTATGAGTTTTAGTAAATTGCTTGATTAAATAATTGATTAGAAATGCAACCGTATGAATGCTTTCTCAAAGTAAATGCAATTGAGGTCAATTGAGTTTGACTTCCATGTATGTAGGTACAGGATTGCAGCCTTAATTTATATAACTTTTCATTGGTAGAGGGGGAGGAAAGGTACAGTAGCTGTAAAGAAAAACATGTACTTTGCTTTTGGACGATGTACACATGTATTTCAGCAAGCATCAATTTAAAAGAGGTAATTCCCATTTCTTCTCAAATATCCAGTTTTTGTGAGGATAAAATGGAGAGAAGGACTGCCTTGGTTTTCTTGTAATGAGGAAAAAAGGCAGGATATAAATGTAATAATAAATATATATTGCTTCCTTGAACTGATGTAGCATAGTGGGGAAGAGATGGAGCTATTCAATAGGCGAATAGCTCTGTCTCTGCCATGAATTTCTTGTTGTCTTTCTGGCTCTAAGTTAAGATAGCCCATCATGCCAAGGATTTTAAAGATATATTTGGCTATTCAGCGCTTGAGGGGATGACCCATTCCAGGTGTTTTATATTTAACGGGGTCAAATTGCACTGTATGCTTTTAGCTGTTTTTAATGCTTAAATATTTCTTTTGATAAACTTGTATGGTGTTTCATTGCATTTAATGGTACTGTTACGCACAGTTTAAACTTGCCACAGAGCTTGAGCTATGGGACAGTATAGAAATTAAATAAATAACAATAATAACTACTCAGGTGGCTTTAGGAGAGCCACTGGGTCTCAGCTTCTGTTTCCTCCAGCTGGAATATGATCTTATTGAATCCTTACTGTTGTAAGGATTACAGCTACATAACAAGCATGGTCTATGTTGAACATTTAAGGCACTACATTAGTATTAGTTAATAATAATTGCATTAATAATGATAATAAATTTATTGTCTTGCACCACTTGAACAGGGATCTTCTAGTTCCAACCTGTGCCTCACACACTTCGAGGAAAGGGAATTTCCCTCAGCAAGTATTCCTTATTCCCACATTTTGTCATGGCAGCTGCTCAGACCAACTGCAGCTGAAGTTCCTTCTGCTCCCTGTTCTGCTCTTCAACCAGCTCTTCTGCCTAGATATCACTCTCTCAAAATAGGGCCAAGAAAGAGTTCATCACTTCCCACTTTTCCCCATCCCTGCTGGGTTATACCTCCTAACTGTTGAGTAGACAGTGCTCCAACCATGGAGGTGTCCAGACATCCCACAATGCCCTTCTCCTCTCTGGGGGTTCCACTGGCATACAGAAGGACACGTCCCATGAGAGTTTAGGTAACTCTCAGGACTTGCCCTTCCAATAGACAGAGCGGAGCTGTCAACTCAGGCATGGTTTTGGTTGTCATGGAAGGGCTGAAATTACTTTCTTACTGGAGGGGAGGAACCTGTGGCTCCCAGACCTTGTGGTGGGTCATAGGATAGTTTGGATTTCCAAGTCTGAGGAAATGTATGTATTATTTATTTCTGTGCTGCTCCACAGCCAAAGCATTCCCACCTTGGAGCTGGGAAGCAGATTTCCAACCCCTTCCCTAGACCCTTTGCAGCTAGTACAGAGAGAACCCCACCAAATGAAGTCAGGAAAGCAAAGTGGAGTTAAATGTGTTTTTGTTGGTTTTAACTGTTTTGGCTAAATCAGTTTAGCTGATTTTCTGATATTTTTATTGCATGTTATTGTCTGTTTTATGTTGTAAATTGCCCAGAGGGCTTCGGCTATGGGGCAATACAGAATGAAAAGGGGGGATTTTGGGTGGACAGAGAAGCAAGAAAACTTGTTGTTGTTGTTAGTTCCGAAGTCGTGTCTGACCCATCATGACCCCATGGACAACATTCCTCCAGGCCTTCCTGTCCTCCACCATCCCCTGGAGTCCACCTAAGCTCATGCTGACTAATAATTATGATAAAAGGGGGGCTTTTGGGTGGACAGAGAAGCAAGGAAACTGGTGAGGCCAAGATATGAAGCTCTTTGCTGAAGCTGTTCCAGCCTCCTTCCTCCACCCCATCCTCCAAAATGACCCTGCTAGGTAGGCAAAAAGACTCATATAACAAAAATAGGGAGGTGGACAGCAATGAGAGATGACGATTTCCTCTTGCAACTCCAAGTTCGAGTCTTTCAGGTTTGCAACAGACCCGTGCCCTAATTTACTATTTATTTTTGGGATCTGGAAAGGTGGAGATGCATTTTTATTGTTTGTTTGTCTCAGGGCCCAAAATAACTTGACTAATATTGGATGCTATGACTTGGAGTACACGTGCATGCGTGTGGTTGAGGAAGGTCATTTGCTGCAGTGCCAAGACAGCAAAATGGCTTGGCTGGTAATAAGTCTTACAGCTGCATGTAAGACTTACATGCAGTCTATTACCTATCTTGTTGGGTGATGTGGAGAAGCCATCCTTTTTCCTTCCAATAGACCTGTAAAAGTTCAGCCCATTTTTATACTGACACTGACGAAAGTGCTGACAATTCTAGCCAGCATGTACCTTTAGTCATCTGCCACTTCACGTCCTGATAAGCATTTGCCCAGGACAAACTAGGGCTTAATGTCTGTCATGATCTGCACATTAGTTAACATTTATAGAGCGAGCACCTTCTGTGTGTCCAAAGCGCTGTATGTACATTATCTGTATGTTCTTCTTCAAAATAATTTCTATATCCTTCAGCAATTAGTAACCACACTTATTTCCTCAGAAAAATGATCTTACCAAGCTTGCACTCACCAAGAGAACAGGTAGAGAGTGCTTATGTAGAGGATCTATGGGCAGCAAGGAGGAGATGCATTCTTAGGTAGGGAAAAATCAATTAAAATGTCTTGAAGGGGAGAACCCTTCAAAAAAGGAACTATACACGCCCCTCCTCTGCAGATTCTGTCAGGGCCAGCCCTACTATTAGGCAGAGTGAGGTGGCTGCCTTAGGCAAATGCTGTGGGTAGAAGGGAATGGCAAAGTGGTGATGAACGAAGCTGCATGTACCACGTGATCTGGCCCATGTCCACGAAGGTGTGATGGGAGATGCTGCCCCTCCATCAGTGTTGAAGGAAGATTCAACTACCACTCTGGCTGGCTTGTGTTTGGAATGGAGGGCACTACCTTGTCCTCTGTGCCTGGTGACAGAATTTCCTGTCTGGCCCTATTAGCAAATGTGTCCCGTCTCTACCTAGACACATTGTTAGGGATCCTGTGGTTCCTTCATAATGGCTGGTTTTACCCATACGGCAGGGATCTGAGGGCAAATCAAACGGCACACCTTTCTTTCAAGGCAAAGTTTGTCCCTCTTCTATAAGCCATCTAAAATAGTCCCTTACCCCATTCAACTCGTTCGGCCTTTTCTCCCCTACCCATGGTACTTACTGATACATTTTCCTTCATAAGCTAGGCCAATGGATCTTCCAAGCAGGCAGGTAGCTTTCCTCAGATGACAGGCACTTGCATATGTAATTCCATCATTCCCACAGAGATACTGTTCAGGGGAAGTAGGTTCTGGGCAAATCCGATTACATGTCACACAGTTGGCATTATTATTTTGATCGACCACACATGTGGAGCTGCCTGGACATAAAACTTCCCTACAGGTCTCTGGAACAAAAACCAGGGGACAGTCTGAATATTGAAGCCATCTCTACCATCAGGTAGCACAGAACCCATGAAAAGAAATACAAGCACTTTCAAAATATTCAGCTTTTTGCATTGAAAAGGAACTACACAGTGACTCAAATTATGTTGCATAGTAGCCATAGCATGGATGGCCCACTTGCTGTCAGGACCCGAAGCAGGAATCACACGGCCTTTGTCCTGGTGTGCCCAGGGACAGTGTTAGAGGCTGGCATGGTTAGGCATCTGCCAAAGCCTATGGCCTTGCAGGAGGTCCACTGCCAAGCCCACGCTGGCCTTGATACTCTCTTCTTTGCTGCTGCCCCATGTTTCTCGCCTGCTCCCTCTGCCAGAGGGGATGGACAAGCAAGTGGTGACAGAAGCAAAGGTGAAGAGGAGCTGCTGCAACCTTCTGCTTCTTGGCAGCTGGCAAGCAAATAGCTGGAAGCAACGGCAGTAGAGAAGATGAGAACCTCAAAGGGAGGCCCCATACTGAGCATGTCTTCTCTAAAGACCCCACAAAACCTGGAACCAAGTTTAGGTGACCCTCTACAAGGGTCCACAGCTCACTGGTGGAACAATTCACATGTCACAATTGTTCACATTTGTTCATAGATTCAGCCTCCAAAGTTCAACCACCCAAAATTGGTTCTGGTACCTTCTGAGCATACAAGGTATAATAGCAGAAGCTTGTAGACTATGAAGGGATCCTTGTTTATCTCTAGGCAAACACTTTGCCTAGAAATTATCCTCATCTACACATGCTGCAGAACTAGTAGCATTCTAAGATTATAGAATTAATGCTGGACGAGGAAGGGCTGTTTGTGTAAAACATGCATACACATACTACCCAACACCAAATTCCCTGCAAATAAAACAATCACAACAAATGAATTCAACAATAGGATGAGCTAGCACCATGTTCTCTTGTTTATACTTGTGAGCAAGCTGATTTCTAAGTGGGCAAATAATTAAAAGCAGGATCAATCCACTTAGTACAAGAGGACATCTTGTACCTGTCCTGCTGGAGGGACCCTGTGGGCAACTGGCTTGCTAGGATGTGGACAAAGTGCTGGGCCAGATGGATTCCTGCTCTGATCCAACATGGCTCTCCTTATGCACGCCAGGCCTCGGTTTCACTAACAGCTCCTTTCACAGAGCTGGTGTGCTATAGTGATTGGAGTGTTTATTTTATTTATCTATTGATTTCCTTTTCGATTTATATCCTGCCTTTTTCCTACAAAGGGCTCAAGGCAGCTTACATCATTCCCCTCCTCCATCTTATCCCCACAACAACAATCCTGTAAGGTAGGTTGGGCTGAGAGTCTGTGACTGGCCCAAAGCCACCCAGTTGGCTCTATGGCTGAGCGGGGACTAGAACCCAGGTCGCCTGAGTCCCAGTCCCAGGCTCTTAACCACTACACCACACTGGCTCTCCACAGTGTTGGACTGGGACTCAGGGGATCTGGGCTCAAGTCCCCAGTCAGTCATGAAGCCCACTAGGTAACTTTGGGCCTACCACTTGAGTGTCTAATCTAACTCAAAGGGTTGTTATGAGACTGAAATGGAGAACAAGAGGCCTATGTAAACTACCTAGCATTCCTTTAAAAGAAAAAAGGCAGAATATAAATACAATGATAAAATACATTTATAAATTTATGGAAGTTGATCTTCTTCTCTCAGAATTTAGGACATCACTGTGTGTTATTAGTTTGGGAACTTGATCTACAATTCACAACTTACTTCCTTGGAAAGTAGTCCAGCTAGGATTTATAGCAGTGTGTAAGTAGTAGTTTACAAGCAGAACTGTATGCTTTTCTAGATATAGAAAAGTGATCATCATCTGTGTAATAAACCTACTTTTGCATTTGCCCTGATACTGGACTTCAAGTTCAGGCTGCTCTTTGCATCTGGCCTTCAGAAGGGCACACTCATTCTTGTAGGTTTTCCCATCCAAGCCACACACTGGGCCCTTCCATGTGATGTTAGAGCAATCCGGAGCGCAGACACACCGTGGTTTGTTCTTCTTGCTCATTTTACATTTCTTCCCAGGCCCGCAGTCCACATTCTCACAGGTTTCTAAAGAGGAAGTGGGAGGAGAGTGGAGGGAGGTAGAACAGAAACCCAGAAATGTTTGCTTTAATAATATCCAGAATCCCCACCACAGCTCCACAAACCACAGGCAACACATGAGAGGGATATTATTTTATTCCTGACCTGGAAAATAAGAAAGATTATCCAAAAGCTTCCTCCAGGAAAAGGCCATAAAATAAAAACTAACCATTAGCTGCATCTGAAGCTTAGATGAGATGATGAAAGTTTCGCAAACATCCCCTATTCTTAAGCCCGAGACATAACATTACATTTGTGCTCCCCCTTTAATTAATTTGTGCATGCTCCACATACACAAGCAGCAGGTTCAAACATTAGAACCCCTCATAAATATTCACTGAAAGGGTGGAAAAGCCATCCTTGTAACTCCTCTGAACAGGGTGGCTAATCTCCAGTAAGCAACATATGTGCATGTGTGTGAGATGTGTGGCAAAGTTGTCTTACAGGAAAGCTCTTTCATGCTCCTTTTTCCAGCAATGCAATAGCTTCTCTGCTCATCTAGTGTCCCTGACTTACTGGGTTTTTTCTCTAACATCTTTCATTTTGAAGGTGTAGCAGAGGTATCCCAAGGTTATACGTGCTTTTGTGAAACATCTTGGCTGCATTGCTTCTTATACACCACTTTTTATTCTAAAGCAATCCCACTCAAGATATTTGGATCTCTCCAGGGTAATTCAGTTGATTTTTGTATTCTCTGTGCTGCATCCCATCTCAGCTTTCTATAATTCCAAATCCATATTAATATTCTTCATTAAAATGACTGAAGAAGTTTGCAGACTCTTTGTCATCTTTTGGTTGGCTTCATAATGGTATAATACCATTTTCTTATGGTTAGCACAGCTACCTTTTTAATCATAAATAACCCACTTTTGGCACTAAGAAAGGAATATTAGTAATGGTATCACCTGCGCACACACCATTTTCTCCTTAGAACCATGACTTAAATCTGAGCCAGGGTCAGACTCTGCTTTGGCTGTCACAGGCAGTAACAGGAATAGGGTTGTTGCTGGTTTCTTTTCTGGCAGGGCTCACCTGCCTATAACAGCGGTGTGGTTCAGCTGATGAAGATTGCCCCAGCATGAAGATGAATTGGTTGGGAAAGTGCCACCTGTTGAGGTTTTGCTTGTTGTATAGCAAAGGCACAGGAATCCCACAAAGGAAAACTGTTGGCAAACCTACCCAAGAAACATGACAGAAGAAGAATGCTTCTGAGCACATGCAGAATTTCTTTTACTCTAAGTATAACCTTCCTAAAATACACCTAGAATTAGGAGCCGGAGTCTTATAGATCAGGTAGCATAGCTTCAGATCAGTCTTGAGCTCCAGGGTCTTCCTCTTTTGCTCTTAAGAAACAGAAGCAAAAAACACCTTGCCTTGAAAAAGAGGGGAAAGTAGGATGAGGACAATGCTAACTTTCTAGGTTGGAGTGAGCTTGTTGGACCAATGACCTGACAGCTTCCTATGCTCCTATGGCAAGCTTTTTGGGGATGGCAGCCTTAGCAGCAGAGCTTTGAATGCAGAAGAGTCAAAGTTTAACTCCTGGCATCTCCAGTGTTGGACGGGAGCTTGGGAGATCTGGACTCCAGGACCCACTCAGCAGTGATCTGACTGGGTGACTTTAGGCCAGACATGGATGCTCAGCCTAGCCTACCTCAGAGGACTGTTGTGAAGATAAAAAAAGACAAGGAGGAAGATTATGTAAGCAGCCTCGGGCAGGAAAAATAGCAGGATATAATAAACGAATAAAATACATTCAGAAATCAAAGGATGCAGGGCTAGAAATCAGGGAAGGTGTTGCCACCCTGAGGAAGCACTACTGGGTGGGGCAGATTGAAGGTACTGGCTTCTTTCCAGAGGTACAGCTCCTAGCACTATCAATTAGAAGATATTATGCAACTGTTCCTTCTTTTTTCTCCGTAAAAGAGTTTTTGGGTGCTTCTAGATGAGGTTGTCATCATACCATCACCCAGTCTCACTCAAGGAATTTTATTTTTTCTTTTCTGGATGATGTCATCTTCCACTCACACCCCCCTGCTGTGTTTTTCTACTGCTTCCTGTGGGGCTTTTAGAAGATCGAAGGGGAAAAACGTATGATACCATCCAGACTGGTAATTCCAGGAGTGTTCCATGTGGAAGCGTCCCTTGTGGAGTGAAAAAAAGATGGAAGAAGCCTTGAGAAAACATGGGAGGGTTACAAATGGAAGATGAGATGGCTGGAACCCCTTTAAAATTCAGTGGTTGGGGCTGGGTGATTGCACAGAGAACTTTGTTAGGAGACTTTTGTCACTGAAATCAAAAGGTGCTATGTGCTCTCTTCTGTCTTTTCTCCTGGTAAGGAAAGGAAAGGAGATTAAAGAAGTAATGAGGAAGCACTGGAGATTGCAAAAGAAGCCCAACAGGAGCTTTCTGGTCTTTGAGGCAGGGCTATACAGGATGAAGGTGTTGCCTGAAGGCACCCACTGACTCAACTCTGCCTGATCTTAGAAGAAAACCAGCACCTCTGAAAGCCAGGTTTTTAGAGGCACCCACCTTTGCATGGGATGCAATTAGGGGCGCCCCCACTAAAGATCATCCACTTGAAGAGCACGTGGTCACTGACGTCCTCCTCAGTCCATGAAGTGGTGAGCCTCCCAGTTTTGCAGCACTCTTCTTTGCTGAGACCATTTTTGTAGAGGACCTGACACCGGCCGTTTCTGGCTTGCCGGAGCCAGCAGTTCCCAGCTGCGTTCACGGAGAGGGAGAGGGAGAGGAGAGGGAGGGAGGACGAGAGAGAAAGAGAGAGAGACCCAGCCATATCAATGTCAGTTAGCAGTGACCCAGACACAACACGTGCGGCTTTCATTGACTTTTACTAGACTGTTTACTTTTATTTGTCCCGTTTCATAACCTGAAGCTACTCTTCTGAACCAAGTGGAAGAGCTGATCAAACAACCTGATCAAACCAGTTTGACGCCTTATTATTCCAGCTGGGGAAGGGGTGGAAAGCCTCGGTTGGGGGTGTGGGGGCAAGGGCTGCGGCAGCATGGGGGGGGGGGGGTTGCTGCGCTGCACGTGATGGGGTTTTGAAATAGATCTGAAGCATTTTAAAGAAGAAGAAAAGGGGGGGGGGAGGAAGGCTGACCGAAAGAAACAAGAATGACAAACTCATTTTGCTGCCCATTCTCGCACTCCAGCAACCATCCAACTCCTCTGTAAAGAAATAGCAAGACAGAAGTTTGCAGCGCAAATTGACGGGAAATTTCATTAGCCCTCTCCTGATCCCCCACCCCCGCAAACCATAAGAATTGTAGGAGCAAGCCTCATCTTTCGAAATCCCCACATTTTATGGATTTCCTAAAGTGAGGAGATAAATGGCTTGCTCTGGAGGAGTGAGTGACCCCTCTCCCCTCACTCACTCCGAATTGGCAAACAAGAGTGGCGGACGGCAGAGAAGAGTTGCACCAAGCCAGACAAGTTGACACACTCTCCGGTTTGGGGGAAAGCCCTGGAGGGGATGCACCGACACCGCCAGCCTTGAGCGTGCCTGATCTAAGGGATCCCGGCCAAGAACTGCAGCCCATCGGCCCACTTCTGGAGGTGGCTGGGAGAATGTTGTTGAGCGGAGTTCCTCATGAATCACCAGTGTGATTTCCACTATTCAATGCCAATCGATTCTGTTCTTTACTCCACAACATACTAAGCAGACTAACACCGGCACGAAGTTGCAAATCAATAATACTGATAATACTAGTACCACAACCAGGACCATTTTTTCACTGCTATTTGCTCAAAGAACCAGATTTTTAAAAAATATAGTACCCGCAGTGGTATAGCAAAATAACCCCCTTTTTCCAGCAACATTAACCAATATCTGGGCAGGGGTTGGGTGAGGACACTTTCAGTGGTAATTATCTGAGCTTTAGAGTTGCTGTTTCTTAAACGCACCTCTACCTAAGGCTGCAAAGCTACACACTTATCTGGGCATAAACCGTACTGCATCCTATGGGGTTTACTTCTGAGTAAACAAGCGTTGATATCCTTTGTGAAATGCAAGACGCAGAAGTTCATTCACAGAATGACATAAAACTGCAGCAGGGCAGGGGCACAAAGAGAATTCTCTAAACTTGTGGGAAAGTCTTTTTTTGCCTATAAGTATGGCCACGATACCCAGATGCTCTCGGGACCCCTAGGAGGGTTCAGCACATTCCCCCCACAATCACACTCACAGACACCCACTCTCAGCCAAAGCTAGTTCTGGTGGTGGTTCAGTTGGTGGTTGAACTCAGAAAAGTTCTTAGCTGTGGGGCTGCGTCGTTCATCTGGGTGGCAGCGTGACAGCCATGCAAGATAAAAAGCTATAGAGAACAGTGTTAGAGGTAATCGTGAAGGCAGCGATTAACATTGTAACGATGCTAATTGCACCTAGCCCCATCGCCCAGTGCCTCTGACCAAGGATGGGTTCCCCTGTCATGCTAGCGCATTTGTGCGGCGCAATCCCAAGCACTCACTCCTCGAAAGTCCCAGTGAGTTCAGGGGGACTTACTATTCCTGTGTAGGATTGTATCCTTAGTTCCACAGTCAGCTCGTCTGCTGGAGTCTCTGGAGAACAGCATGGGTGAGAACGAAGACAGGCAGGCAGGCAGACAGGCAGGCAGGCAGACAGACAGACAGACAGATGACAGGAAAGGGCACCTCTGCATATAAAGGCTTAAAAGGCATCTTACCCTGTGCTGTTTGATCTTCCATGAAGTGGCAGAAAAACATCAGGAGTAAAACCATTCCTGGAAAGATTCTCTGATTTAACATCCTTAAGTGTTTCCCTCCAGCGAAACAGAAGACACAACCTCAAGTGGCAGGAGTGAGGGAGGGAAAGGCAAGAGTCCGCCAGACAGACAGCCCGCTTATGATCGCTCTATTGAATGAACGTCAGGCTCTGAATGCAGTCTCTCTTTAAATCTATGGGGTCTTAGCTCTATGGTGGGCGGTCTCCTAATGTGTGTGTGTGTGTGTGTGAGAGAGAGAGAGAGAGAGAGAGGGTGAGCGTGTGTGTGTTCAGCAGTGGTGCAGAGATTTAAAAAGTTCAGTTTGAACCCCTTTCCAATTATCCGACTTTTTTTTTTTAAGGTGCGCGCGTGCGTACATACACTCACGCAGCACACTCGACATTAATTCTACACACGGGAATCACCGTCGCTCTTGCGCCCTTAGTAGCAGGAAGGAAGAAGTGTGTTGCTGCTGGTGTGTTTTTAAAGCCAGCAGCACAGACTAGTAGCTCGGAGCTTAAAGATGAGGAGAAGGCAGGAAACCACTTGTGCCAGTCAAAGCAAGACACAGAAAAGACAGAGGGAGCCGCGGGGGAGGGGGGAAGCGAGACATTTCCCTCCCGGAGATCCCGGGGAGGTTATTTAGAAAGCAGAGACCATCGTGCGGATCCGGCCTTGTCCGTGGTTTTCTCTCCCTTCCTCCATTTCCACCTGGGGAAGAAACGATTTGCAAAACAAATCGCCTCCATCGGTCATTGTTTCTTTCTGCGCGTTTAGGCACGAACGGGGTTGCGCTTGGAAAGAGAGTTACGTGTACGTGTGCGTGTGCAGGCCCCGGGACATCCAGCGAGCCCACAGCGGGAAGTCTCTCCTCCGGAGACGAAGGGACGAGGCTGGTTATCCCGGCGTGTGTTGGTGCGCGTTCTCCCTCCTTCCATCGCCTCCCCGCCCCAGATGTTGTGGCTACTAATAAATCTCTAACCCTCACACCTCCAAACAGTAGTTAAGTGTCTGGCGCGCACACATCTCCCTCTCTGGGACTCGTCAAAAACAAATCAAAGTTTAATACCCGGTTTAATACCCCAAGTGTTCGTCTTTTCACTTGGGGGCGTCTGGAGTACTGTTTAGAGTGGAATGGAGAGACAGGCGAGAGGAGGGGAGTGTGTGCGTATGTGTGTGTGAGGTGCGGGGAGGCGACGTAGGCGGTCCCTTTTTCCGAATAAAAAAAAAATTAAAAAACCCGCATACTCTGCGATTAAGGACGGACGCGATTGCAACAGGCCTAATGAACTTTTGCAGCGTTAGTCTATTAAGTGCTCCCTGCAATTCCACTCTTCTTTCAAGAGAGTTGGCGGACTCGTTTATAATAACAGTTTTTGGCACCGCTGAATGAAACTGAGTAGGCGATATTTCCTTTTATACAAAACGATTACTTAACGGGAAAAAATGGGGAGTGTTGATTCAAAAAGCCGCTTCTTTAAAAACAACAATCTTAAAAACCCTGAACCTTGGCGCCCCCCCGCGCCCCCCCAGCCTCGACGCCCGCTTCTCCCTCCCGGCCGTGGCCGCAGCGGAACAGACAGCAAAGCAGGCAGACAAAAATTCTTGCCTATTGCCAGTTCACTGATTTCCACTGAAGTCTGGCCGAATCCTCCCTCTCCCCCTCCTTTATCCCCCTCCCCATTTCAGACCCCGTCTGCCCCCTCCTTCCCCAGCTCCCGTCTCTCTCTTTCTCTCTCTGTCTCCTCCCCCCTCAAAACCCCTCCCTACAACTGCAAATAACTCAGTGATAACAGATTTTTTTCCACCAACTGCAGGAGATAGTGCTAATCTTTTAATAAAAGATCCCATTACAATGGGATCTGTCTGGACAGACTATAATAGATCTAGAAATACAGCCGTGCTAATATTAGGAGACAGTTGTTTGGGTGCCTCAGACTGGGCCGCGGTCCCGGCTTTGAAAATGGGCACGAATCACAATACCACGCCGCGGCACCCCCACTCGCACCCATTCAGCACCAGACTGGTAAATGACTATCCTTTCCCTTGCATTATTATTATTATTGTCATTACGGCAGTCATTATGATCTTTACCGTGGAGCTCCGGAGCGCTTTGCTAATTTCAGAAGCTTCCTGCGACTTTGCATCCTTTTTTGCACCTCCCTTCACGTCCCCCCCTTCCCCAAATTAGTACTACCGTTCTCCTTTTCTTCTTTCCCTCTGAATAGCAACCTTAATGCGGTGTTACAGAGCGCCCTCTTATGGCAGATGCCGCGATCAATTAGTAGGGGGAAATCAAAAGCAAAAGGAAATAAGCACTGCCATCCCGCAGCACAATCGTCCCTAGAAACGGGATCGAGTCGAAGCATTGCTTCGGTTCTACACGAAGCTGGTGCACTACCACCAGCCCCAATGCGTGAGCACCTCCCGGGTTTTTTTCTCATGAAAAGAATGCTAAGATGGAAGTTCATATTCCCGACAGCGCAAAAACTTAGTGTTCACTGCACCTTCCTTAAACCAAATGTGTACAGCTTTATCTTAGAGTAGACCCTGCTCTAGAGTCTCAGCAGGGTTGTTGTTGGTTTTTTTTAATAACAAACTGATATTCATCCCCACCCAGTCCATGAGTCTGCTCAGGAAAACCCAAACACTGAACCTTCGTACTCCCAAGAACAACCCTTCTCTGTTTTAAAATTTACATTTAAAGGCTTATGTCTTACACTCCATATAGTCTTAAGCAATAGTATTACCAATGCAAAGTCATAGATCTCCTCAAGGTACTCTTGAGTTTCTGTTCCCCATTGATAAAGATTCAGTCAGCATCCTTTGAGCATCAGTGGGCATTTCTTGTTATGATGCTTTTATTGCAGGAAGACAGGAATCTTACTGAAACTGTAATCATATCTTGTTACCTGGGAGTAAGCTCCATTGAACTCTGTGGGGCTTACATCTGATTAGTCAAGAATTGGTGTGAGTTGTTCACCCCCTTTTTGTTCAACACAACAATCACATTTAGCATGTATATTATTTAGCACATTTGAACTATTCAAAGCACTTCATATGTACTGTCCCAGTAGTCCTTATGATAGCCATGTAAAGTGCACCAGTATTATTCAGATGTTGTAGGTGGGACATGAAAGCATGTCTTAAGGCCCGATTTCATGAGCCAGTGCCAGAGAAATCATATGTTCCAATAAGGTGAGCCAGGCAGTTGGACTGGTTAGAGAGCATTGGACTGGAGAGGTCCAGGTTTCAGTCCTCACTTGGCCTTGAAGTCTGCTGGCTTATTTTGAGCCAGACACTCACTCTCAGCCTAACCTGGGCATGGTCTGAAGGCAGGTACCTTGATGAAGATAAGCAGGTCCAGGTCTGGTAACTGCCATAGAAGTAAGGGGAATACAATTGTAACAACCTACCTCTCAGGATTGTTGTGAGGATAAAATGTAAAGGAAGGGGATCATGAACTCCACTTTGGGCTCCTTGCAGCAAAGGCAGAATAAAAATGCAACAAAGAATAAGTAAAGTTCACAAGCTTCCAAGATATTGTAGAAAAGAAAAGGCAGAAAAGAAACCAGAACAATAAAAACAATAACCTCAAGAACAGTTGAACTGGTCCGTGAATAAAACATCCAAAATCCCAGGATAGGGGAGACAGCCCAAATTAGGCAGTACTTTTATACATGCAGATCTGGGTTACAGCCAGACTTTATGTTTTCAGAAATAGGAATCAGCCATTGCTTCTTTGTCCCAGAATGCAAGGTGTTATCTGATACCTATCAGTGACTCATTCAGACTACAATCATCTTTTTATTGCCATTTTGGAATGACCCTCTGTAGACCTCATGCTACAAGATCTGGCATATATTTGAACATTCTTTTTTCTTCCCCCATCCCCTGCCTCTTATAATGTCTGGCCTGATGAAGAGTTCTGGACAACTTGAAAGCTTGCACAATCTTTCATGGCAATTTGTCTGGTCCTAATAAAGGCATTGCCCTACCGTAGATTTTTGGAATCTCACCTCCCCTTTCAGAATGATCAAAAAGCAAGAGAAGGTTTTCTGTGAGGAAACTGTTTGGGACTATTTAACTTAGGGGAAAAAAACTGGGAAACATACTCCTATGCAGAGTTATCTGGAGTAAGTTCCATTGAACTCAGTGGTGTTTGCTTCTGATTGCATACATTTGACTTGTAAAACACACTGAGCTTTATTAATGCATCTTCAGCCAGCTGAAATGCAATCTTTTATCTTTTAGGAATGTGAACAATTTTGCACATAAGTGTGACCTTTTCAAATACAAGGGTGAAGCAGGAGCTACATCAAAGAAAAGGACATTTGTATGTATCAAGCAGCCTTTGCTTGATTATTTTGCTCATTATCTGATGCTGTTTAGGCTAGTCTGTCACCTCAACAATAGTACATTTTAGAAGTTTCATTATTTCCTAATGTACTAGTTGGAGCAAGGGAGATCTATAGATTACCCTGACATTCCAGCAGATCATAGATCATAGAATCATATAGTTGGAAGGGGCCTACCAGGCCATTGAGTCCAACCACCTGGTCAATGCAGGACTCAGATCTCCCATCCAGATTTCAACCCAGCCCAACCCTGCTTAGATTCCAAGATTAGGCAGGATCTTTAAGCTGTGTCACTGGTTACAAAGGAAACATTGGGCCAGGCTGGTGCCAAGATGTGGCATGATTGGGCACCCTGGACTTGCATCTTCTCTTCACTTTTGATACCTGTTTGTTCACCAGGCCTCATGCTCAGGTCCAGAAAATGGTCAAGGTGAGGAGGAGGAGAAGCAGTAGATGCACAGCCCATTTGATCACTACTTATCATGCAAGCAAGTGGTAGTCATGATGAGAAAGTGAATGAGAATCCATTGCAGTCAGTGATAATGGTGGTGAGAAGATGAGGAAGGGAACCCATTGAAGGTGTCCTGTTTAAGGGACCTCAAAACCTGGAGCTGGCACTGGCACAAGGTAAGGGAACAAGTGTAGAAAAAAGCATAAGGCACCATTATTATCATTCTATTACACTGGTACCTTGCAAGGAACAGAAGCCAGCTTAGAAGGGTCTCCCATTTTTCACTTCCCTGTAAAATAGTTGGGCCAAGAGTCTGGCAACTGGTCCAAAGGCACCAGTGAGCTTCATGGCTGAGTGGGAACTAGAACCCAGAAC